TATTTATGGGACATGCCCTTGAAACAATATATGAATCAGGAAACTATTCTTTAAATAAAATCCAAGTGGCATACTTAACTACCTGTGTGGTAAGGGGTAAATTACTTATTTTATGTAACTTAGATTTTTTTTTTTACACTTGTATGAACAGAGCTGAGTCCACGTGATGGGAAGAAATAAAGCAATAAAACATGAAAGGCAAATCAGTGTAAACAGCCCTAGCAAACTTGGGAAAGTTTTTTTGAGACCAGGTTTTTCTACATAACTGTACTGGCTGCCCTGGAACTTCCTTTGTAAACCAGCTGGCCTTGAACTCAGAGATACACCTATCTCTGACTCGTGAGTGCTGGCATTAAAGACCTGCACTTCCAACTTTAATGAAGGCTTAGTGCTAAAAAGCTGACTACTCTGATGCCTGACACTCACTGGCTAAGGTCCTGGGTGAGACGGGAGATTATATTATGTTGAGCTAGGTTCTGAAGCAGAAAGGAGAGTTGTTCTCCAAGAGATGCATGCAGTTGCAGACTGCTGAGTCATGCAGCTTTCAAGACTTTGTGCTCCCAAATCTTAGGGCCAGGGCATTCCAGGACCTTGCCTTCGCCTCTTTCCTTTGTGTTTGTTCAATTAGAGTCTGCTGTGTTCGTTAAACTGCTCAGTGACTCTACTAACTGGCCTTGAAGTTGTAGTCTTCTTGCCTAACCTTTGAAGTGCAGACATCACAGGGTTGAATCATCACCATGATTAATTTTCTTTGTGCTTTGTGCAAGATTCTTTCTTTTTAAATACATTATTTTTAATATTTTGAGATTATAATTACATAGTTTCCCTTTCTGCCCTCCAACTCTTCCCATGTGTCTTCACTTTGCTCTTCTTCAGGGCCTCCTTTTCTTTAATTGTTGTTATTGTTGGTGGTGTGTGTATGTGTGTGTGTATGTGTGCATATGTATCTGTATGTATTCCTAATTGTATAACTACAACTGCCTCCACCTGTGTGATGTTCCTGACATGTTTTCAGCCCTGTCCATTTGATACTAGATAACCTACTAGTGTACTCTTCCCTGGGGAAGACTATTTCTCCTTCCTTCAGTATTCCATAGTTGCCTGCAGTTCTTTGTCTAGAGTTGAGGCCATGTGAGCCTTCTACCTTCCCTGTTAGCATGGCTATGGCTACTGATGTCCTCTCTGGTTTCTGTACCGAGCTCACAGTGAGCTAGAAAGATGACTCAGTTGGTAAAGAGTTTGCTGCACGAATACGAGAAGTGGAGTTCCCATCCTCAGCACCTGTGTGTGTGCTGTTGCTCGTGTCGGTAAGCCCAGGTCTTGACAAATCCATGAGTTCTATTAGGAAGAGAACTTGTCTACAGAGTAGGGTGAAGGACAGCCAGAGAAGATAACCCTTGCTATCTTTGGCTTCCACACACGTGAGTATGTATATATATTTATATACCACTGCAGACATGTGCATGCGTGCATGCGTGCACACACACACATGCACACACACACACATACAAGAGGTGGGTAACGTTAGAGAAAGACTAGAGAAAGGTAGGAGGAGAGGAGAGCAGGCACATTACAACCTTTATTTCCATGAACTCACAGAATGGCTAGCACTGCGTCGGAACATATGGGGGAGGAGTTGAAGGAAGATTTAATTCCTGAAAAGCAGGGATGGATGACACCATTTGCAACATTATAAACACCACCACCGTCTTCAGTGTCATCCCCCAAATGGCACATGTCGCTTTAAAAAGGGAAGCTGTTTTGTTTTGTTTCTTGGACTTTCAACAGTTTTCTTTAGTAAGCACTTCATAGGAGGAAAGGCTGGTAATTTGAAGACTGGATTAATCAGATAAACCTACAAAAATTGACAATATCAGAGGCAGGCGGATCTCTTTGAGTTTGAGACCAGCCTGGTCTACAAGAGCTAGTTCCAGGACAGGCTCCAAAACCACAAAGAAACCCTGTGTAGAAAAACCAAAAAAAAAAAAAATTGACAATATCTCTGGAAGTTTCTATTGGGATTAGGTCATACTATTTTCTTATTCCTTATCCTGTAAGACAAGAGAAATTGCTAAATGGTTCCCCTGGAAACAAAACCCGAAGCCTAGTTTGTAAAATATCTTACATATCCCTGTGGCCCATGAAAAGTAAATATTTAAAATTAATGTATTTATTGATAGTACAGAGTTTTACCAAAAAGGGCCCCTGTATTTCCAAATTTAAAATTCAATAACGTATGCAGAAATAGAGTCAGTGATAGAGGTGGCTTCTCTTCCTAATGCTGAGCATAGGAGCTGAATGCACTGCAGCCTTATGGCTTTGTGTAGTAGAGCTAAAATGTAGCAAAAACCACCACTTAAACCCTGTCTCTGTAGAGTCAAACCACCCGACTGTTAAACAAAAGACTAATTCAGTTAGGCAATCCCTTCACATAGCTTCTAGCCACTGAGTGCAGCTGAATTTAATTTATCTCAACTCAGGTAGTTTACCACAATATAATCAAGTCTTTGAGTAATAGAGAAAAGTTTTTGATCTAGATTTTTTTACATTGGAGATATGAGTGAAAAATGAGCAGGCAAAGAAAGCATCATATTTGTCTTTTGCACAAAAACAATCTTTCTTTTATTCTCTTTAAAAAAAAATGTAGCCCTCTAAGCTATGTGCATTTGATTTTAGTAACTCGGTAAGAAGGTGCTGGCCCAGATAAGTATTTATTAAAATGTAAATTACACTTGCCTAAAAGAAAAAAAATCAGAGAGAAATATTAAAATAAAAGTCCTTAGGTTATAGGACATGCAGATTTGAACCTTATGAAGAATTAAGACTTTTTTAGAAAAGGGCAAGGCTAGAATATAGGTCTCTAAGTTTAGAACACATTGGCCCCATTCACAGCCGTGATCCCATTCTCCGGGGCCGCCCCCTAAGGTCGAGAATGCATCTCATTTGGTTTCATCAACAACCATACAAGTAGAAGCACCCATTTTATTGATGAGAAGTAGAAGTACCCATTTTATTGATGAGAAAACTGGGGCTTAGGAAAACTGATTGAGGCATGATTGCTTTTACTTCTTGTATTCTATTTAAGAATAATTTCATTATTTTGGGAGTAAGTGTGAGCCTGCTACATATTGAATGGCCCCTTCCTCATCCCTTAGGTCTCATATGTTCATGGTTTTTAATCTGCGGGTCCTGACACCATCAGGGTCAAATGACCTTTTCACAGAGGTAGCCTAAGACCATCAGAAAACACAGATATTTACATTATGATTCACAACAGTAGCGAAATTACAGATACCAAGTAGCAGTGAAAATAATTTTATGGCTGGGGACCTCCACAATATGACAAACCACATTGAAGGGCCACAGCTTAGGCAGGTTGAGAACCTCTGTCTGATAAGGAGGATCTTACTCCTGCAAACATATTGCCACCCATCTCTCAGCCTTCCAATCGTCCTTGTCCAGAGCTGGCAGCTTTTCATCTCTACACGGCTCTCACATGCTCATCACTAACATCCTTTGAAAGTATTGTGAGCATTTAACTTAACTAGCAATCTAAAGTACATTATAAATGCTGATAGGTGCTAATGACTGTAATCAAAAGAATGGACATTAGACCAGACAAGCAAGCTTTAAATACCATATATACACATACATATATATATATATATACGTATGTATATAATGTAAACATGGGTATAAGGAACAATATACCCTTGCTGCTGATACTAACTAATGTTTGGTTTCCAGTTAATATATGCATATTCTTGATTGTCTTATTGCATTGTTACTATTTGTCTTGGCAGGTGGCCAATGTTTCTCTCTCCATCTCCATGAATCAAGCTTTGGGTAATGTCCAGCTACACCTTGCATTAGGTAGCATCGCTGTCTAGCCATGGAAGCAAAGACTTGGTAGTCATTACTCACGTGCTCCCTCCGTCTTCAGAATAAATGCCACGTGAATTGAGTGTCACGCACCATTCAAAATGCTGCATGCATTCCCTTCAGCTACAGCCCACCTTTTATTGCCAACATCTCCACTTTTATGAGTTTGCCCTGTTGTGTGCATGTATACATGTGTGTTTATTCATCCAGTCACAGTTCATAATGTACTAGGTAGCCTAGAGATTAAGAGATAACAGTATGCCTGACCCACATACAGGCTTTAAGAGCACATTCAGTTTTCTACCCATATAAATGCAATTAACTGTTTTCCCTGAAGGAAATAAAAAAAATTCGGATGATTTGAAAGAACCAGTATTGTTGATTGCATGATTTCTCTTTTCTTTTTTTTTTTGATTTTTATTTATTTCTCTTTTCATTATGAGAATAAATATCTACTACCTATTTATTACATGCAAGAGAGAAGCAGGAAGAATTGAGAGCTGGGCTCATGTGTATCTTAGGACCCTTGTGCTGACACAAACAGATGAGTATATGTCACAGAGCCTCCTATTTTTACATTATCTGATGAACGAGGTGCTTTACTCACTAATAAAACCATCATTCCACTGCAGCTACATGTGTACTTAGGTTACCTGAACACATAAAAGAGTTCCAGTTACACTAAGCTAGAAACCTACATTAAAAAACTGTCTCAAAGTCTCCTGATAACTGTGTCGTCAAATTCCTGAAATTACCTTTCTTCGTCATGCAATAGAATTTTCCCCTACAGAGGCCGGAAGTTTTCTCAATGTTTAGTTATCATTTTCTGAGAGACACAAGAGTTTTAAGCCAAGACTCCTGGGATTCTGTTTACAATCCCCTACATCCTAACAGGGAACTGCTTCCTGCTACAGGGCTAGCAAATCCCTCCATTTATTTTTAGATCTCCAGTGGATCCAGAGGTGTGTTTAACATGCAAAGCAGAAGCTTACACTGGGAAACATTTGCATGATTGTGTTTTGGTTTTGCCTTCAGCTAAGTAGGACAAAGTTGATCTCATTTTACCTAATCTCTATTCCACACTTCCCCTCTTCATTTCCAAGTTCAGCTTTGCTTACCTGCTTCCTGGAAGACACAGTGTTGTTGAAACATCTGTTGGCGGCATTTACATTCAAATTCTTGTTCTGATGGGTTGACTCATTTTTCCACATTTTAGAGTTCTCTTTAGGGTCAGAAGGAATGGGGTTTAAGAAGAGGATTCTGGCTATAAATCCATAGAGCACAGTGGCCAGGATCATTGGTACCACGTAAAAAACACCGAAGTCCATTAGGTATATAGGTGAGTAGTAGTTCCTGGAGATCTTGTAGCCACAGGATACCACAATGGCACCTTTGTAGGTGCTAATATTGAGATCCAGCAAGAAGAACCAGAGCATGCAATAAATGGATGTGAAGGCCCAGACAAATATAATGATCTTTTTGGCTCTGGAAAATGTGCAGAGAAACTGGGCTTTGATGGGGTGGCAGATTGCTATGTATCTCTCAATGGTAAAGGCGGTTATGGAACATGAGGATGCGTTAATCCCTAAATACTGGAGATAGGTAATGCAGAGGCAACCAGCATAGCCATAGACCCAGGAACCGTAGATGCTGTCGGTTATGTTGGGGAGGCCTGCAGCTATCAGGACCATGAGATCAGCCACAGCCAGACTCACCAGGTAGCAATTGGTAGGGGTTCTCATGTGCTTGGTTCTCATGACCACCAGGACGACCATGATGTTGCCCACGATGCCCAGTCCGCAAATAATGAGCACAAGTAAGATAGTGACGACCTGGTACTCGAGTGCCACCACTGCCTGGGGTTGAAGCTCGGTTTGGTTCAGTTCACTGACTGTTTCATTCTCCATCTTCTGTGGCTTGAAGTTTCTCTCTCATACAGACTCTTTAGAACATCTCTCTACACTTCACCTTTATTGGAATACTTCTTCCCCCTGGGAAAAGTCACACACATGTTCACTCACAATGCCATGACCGCCAAGCAAGGTACAATTACAGGCGACTCATTTCCTCTCTTTACACCTGAGTTTCTACAGTAACGGGGCTCCTATGCACTTCTGGAAACTCCTTATTTTGCAATTCTAGGCAGAACGTAGCAATTGTTTTGACCACATCATGCTAAGAGGACAAGGTAAGTCTCTCTTCACAGAGGAAAAATGCTGAAGACAAGAGAGGCAGAAAAACTCCTCTTTTGAAGCTGGGTCCACTCGGGAGAACAAAAAACAACAAGCAAACAATTCCAAACTTAAAAAGAAAATGTGCTAGTTGCAAAATAAATACAAAGAAACCCCTCAGTTGCTCAGAAAAAGTACAGTGAAGAAGGAAAAGGTAGCAGTGGAAAAGCCGAAAGCCTCAGTGGTCAAGCCTGGTAGGAATTTAGCTACTGCCTCTGGCTCTCAGGAGTAAAACATCATTAATAAAATAGAAAACCTTTGCACATAAGTTCCCCATTTCCCCAACCCCCTGCCTCAATAGAAGACAGTTTCTTCTCTTACCTTTTCACTCTGTCTCACTGCCTGCTTCTCAGGGCAGACGAAAGGGAAATAGGTCCAAGTTTCCAGTCCTGCAGAAAATCGTGTCTAGTCTGTCTGGCAGGGAGATCACTTAGCAGAGGCTCAGTCTTTGGAGCGGCAGTTCCTCCAACGCCTCACATCTCTTTTCAACTCATGACAGACCCTACAGCCGCAGTAACAGAGGCAGCAGCAGGCGCAGCAGTGAGGCTGTCAAATCATAGATCGTCCCTTAATGAGAGCTCTCTCTCTCTCTCTCTCTCTCTCTCTCTCTCTCTCTCTCTCTCTCTCTCTCTCTCTCTCTCTCTCTCTCACACACACACACACACACACACTGCACATGCATTTCCAACTGCCCGTCAGATCTGACTGATTCGTAATCCGTTGAAGAATGTACTCTTAAACATGTGGCTGATAGTGTGCAGTGTGGAAGACTGATCACAGGTAAAAGATCGAGAAAAGCTGATCTTGTACATAATGGTGCTCTAAGTTCTGCAGAAACTCCTGTGCCTGAGCTGCTCTGAAATATATTTTTACTTCTTTCTTGCAGAGCCCTTGAAGCCTGCGATAACTGTCCGCAGTGAGATCAACTTCTCTCTCTGCTGTGGAAAGCCTCAGACTGATGCTTCAGGAAATCAGTAAAAGTAGCTGTCTCTCCTTTTGTATCATATGAATGAAAAATAAGTTAAAATTGATTTTAAAACATTTTAACTATGAGCTTCTGAGGCTCACATAAAAGCATTAGTTTTCAAAAAGGACTTGCAGATTAGGAGGCGTGGTGCACACTGGTATCTCAGTGGACGGTGGTGTGAAGCCAGTTTGGGCTGTATATCAAGACCTTGCCTCATGAATAAAAACAAACAAATAAATAAATAAGTAAAATTAGCAATCAGAATATTTCAATTTAAAGCCACCTGTGGAAACTTGTGAGGCTTGTGAGGCTGCCCGTGAAAACTTTATCTAAATATACTCATAAGAGGGAGAAGTATCCAGTGAAATTCTAGCCCAGGGTCATTCCCACTCTCTAAAGCCTCCTGTGTCCAGTCTATGACAGGGTTCTTCTCTGGACACCAACTGAATGCACCAGCCGTTAATGTTTGTGTACTTTTAGCTGACTGTCTTACCATGGAAAACAACCGTTAGCTGGACTCCCAGCCTGAGGCACCAAGTCTCTGTTTTAAAAGATCAGATCCTCAGGGAGTCTATTTTAAGTGGACAAGACCAAAAGGGCATCTGAGCTATGCCCAATGCCAGTAACAATGAGACTGAGCTAAAGCTCCGATCATAGGGAACAACCTCTCCTTTGAACCTTGGTACCCATCTCTTTTACCCAATCACCGCTCCTTACAGAGCAACATCCCAGAAGGCACATTTAGGTTTCAGGGGTATAATTGTTTGGCCTAAACAGGACCAGCTCAAGTGTGATTTTAATAATTGGATTATTTTTACCTTTCAAAATTTAGAAATTACATATTAAAACCAGGACATTTTCTCATAAAAATTTAAAGGGTCTGGCCCTGGTGGGCTTACAGTCCCGCTTGGAGATTAACGGAGGACCAGCAGTGACTGTAGTCAGAGTCCTTGATATAGGATGCCATCTCTCCCATGTTCTACATGTGGCACAACCTTCCACCTGTCTTTTACACAAGCCAGTTTCCCCCCCATAACCATACATGTATGGCCCCTGTCAAGGTTTGAGTTTTGGCCTCTGAATTATCCCCAAATTCTGAGTGGCGAGGAGGAAACCAGTCCAGTGTAGGCTCTCTCACCCTGGGTCCATCTTTGCCTGAATTTTAGTTTGTTCTGCCCACTGGTTTGGCTTAGGGATGCTTTCTCCCTGGTCTACAGGGCAGAGAAGACTCTGAACCATTTCTCTCTTGGCTGCTCATCAGCGTGAAAATGCTTTTGAGGGAGGCATTGTCTTCCTCTTCAGTCCTAACTTCCCTACTTCAAATTAAAGCCTTACTTCCTAAGCTAACCTTCCCTCCTCATTCTCCCAGGGCCTTTAATTAGATCTCAGTTGGTATGGGACGACTCCCGTGCAGCATGTCTTTACAATACAGCTAACAATTGCGGGCTAGGAAGTCAGTTCTTTCAGCTCCAGCTCCATGTCAAATCTTTCCCCAGGGCATCCCTCAGCATCTCTATTCTGAATAAATACTCCTCACCTCATTTTGTTTTCCCTCCTAACAGATAGCTGTTAAGCTCGGACTATGTGCTGTATGGTTAGTAAGTAAACATCACATTTTACCCTCAAATAGCTCACAGTTATTGGGAGAAACAGGTTTAGGAAAAGTTACGTGATCTGTACATTGAAAATGGACATTCAGTGGGTTGAATCATGAAACGAAGGTACTTGTGAGTGGCTGTGCAGTGGACAGAGAAACCGGGTTGTGTTCTCCCACACAAGGTAGCATCTGAAAAGTTTTGAAGAAAAGCACAGCTTCCTTTAGAAGAGGGAACAAGAGATGACATTGGGATTAATGATAATGAGATGTACAAGGCTGCATAAAGTGGCAAGGATTTCACGGGGTCGGGAAAGATGTGACCGCCTCCTTGACCTAGAGGAGTTGAGACAGACATTGGGTGGCTGCCAGATCGGGTGTTTAAGGAGGGTTCTCCCTGGGCTGGGGCTCACATTATCCCCTTCAACTTGCTCTTTACAGTCTGGAGAAAGTTCTTCACACACCCATTTTCACCTCCAAACTTATCAGATCATTATGTTCCTACATGTTTTCTATCAACTCCATGCCCCCTACAACACTGTATTTTTTTCTTTTTTTGAGACAGGGTTTCTCGGTAGCTTTTGGTTCCTGTCCTGGAACTAGCTCTTATCGACCAGGCTGGCCTTGAACTCACAGAGATCTGCCTGCCTCTGCCTCCTGAGTGCTGGGATTAAAGGCGTGCTCCACCACTAATTAGAGAGAAATGAAGGCGTTTCTTCTGAAATAGTAGGTGCACCATAATAAGGACTATAAACAGATGGTGGACCCAAGGTGTCACGCACACATCTGGAGTCCACGTGCTGGCTGTTTCTCTTTGGCCCTCTGCCATTTAGGCAAAGCTTCTCAGCCATGTGCCTCATTTCTCACAAGAAAAATCAGCACCACAGTTCATAGGGTACCTCAGAAGAGTGTCTCAGTTCCTGGCTGGGACTTGTTCATTGGTTTTCTGATCTTGCCTCGCACTTCCAGTTTGAACTTGAGAAAATTGCAAGCACTTGTTTAGGCCCAATCATATTCTCCGCTAGATGACTTGCTCGTGATATTTGGTTTTCTCTTTCCTAATTGCCACAAGAAAGTTTACATTCATACAACCAAACTCCTTCCGTAGGACATGCATGGCTGTATGCTGCCAAAACCACAGGAGCAATTTATAAGAGAGTTATCTCCACACTTAGGGGGAGCTTTTCTAGTAGCTAGGTGGTTGTTCACCATACATCACAAATCCACTAGTAGTTCACAATTTATGCTGTCCACAGTTCTCATTTGAGGCTGCTGGAGGCCATGGGAGGTGTCATCAAATTGTCATAGGTAACTTGGCAAGGAAAAGTGGCAAGTTCAGAAAACAATGAGAGAGAGAGAGAGAGAGAGAGAGAGAGAGAGAGACAGAGAGAGAGAGAGAGAGACAGAGACAGAGACAGAGACAGAGAGAGACAGAGAGACAGAGACTTAGTACTTCGTACTATGTACTATGTTCTTATCAGGCCAGATGAACCTTATATTCAGGAAAGGTTAACAGTTTGAAGAAGTTTCTCTAAAGTGTTACACGAGGAAATGACCTAACAAAAGAATAGACTTTAATCAAACTGTCTAGATTGTGAGTTCATATCTAGTTTGATTTATTGCATATTTTATGAAGCAATAACCTGATTTTCCAAAATGAATGTAACTTGAGGAGGTTACTATAAGAAAACTAGTGTGAAATCTGAATATTTTAGTGGATTGTATCTACGCTCTTTTTTGTACTCTAGAAATTTTAAGTCAAATTCCCCTCTAAAAATGAAAAGTTGTATAAATCTTTACTGCTAAAATGGTATTTTTTTTCCTCACTAAGTTAATCAATTTAGAACTTGGCCATTGGTTACTCTCCTAGTGTTATGTTTTTATTATACCCTATGTGTATATGAATGAACACCTATATATAATGTTTTTATATACGGTTTTATTATACCATATGTTTTTATTATACCTTATGTGTATATAAATGAACACCTATATATACTGTTTATATATACTGTTTTATTACACCATATGAGTATGCAAATGAACACCCATATATACTGTTTATATATACTGTTTTATTATACCATGTTTTTATTATACCATATGTGTATACAA